CACCAAAATGTCCACCAGCACCTCTTAGATGCTCCACCCGCTTCCTGAGGAAAGAGTGAACACGCACGCAAGCGAAGTTCTTGAAAAGGGGTCTCCTCCATGTTGCTAGGCAGGATGTGTTGATGGGCTGTTCAAACTTCCTGTAATGTGCAGGGTGGGCAGTAAAGTTTTCCCACAATGCACCACACACAAAGGGTTAGAGTGGCCACATTTTGGGAGGGCACTAGAGAATCTGAGATATTGTTGGCTTGACTCAGGTCTGTGAGCTGCAGAGTGGACTCCAGAGCCAGAGGTTTGAGCCCTGGCTAGAAAATTGTTAATGTAGGGTTAAGAATTACTATAGATGCACAAGCCCCAGGTTCTCTAACACAGGTCAGCTGACTCACATCCCACTAACCCTGGGCTTACATTGCAGCATAGACATACCCCCAGAGGCTGAAGCTGGTGCAGAACTGGCAAGCACCTTATTATGTGGCACAGCTTGCTGCAAGTACAGAACATCAACTTTCCATGATTGGCATTTGTTGCCTGTTAGCTTTGAGGTGAATTTTAAGGTGTTAGGTTTGATCTGTAAAACACTAAATGGCATGGGACTTTTCTCCCTGCGTGACATTGCCACAGCCACAGTCAGCAGAGGTGGTCAAGTTGGTATAAGAGAGAGAGTTGCTGCCAGGAGGGGAACTCATCTACAGAAGTTGTTTACCTTGCTAATCTCGAATACCTAAATTTGTTGATCATCACAGTCAGCTGCAAGAACCATCTATTTACCTAGGATTTCAGAGTGACAGGGCTATAATAAAGGCTGGTATTTGTGGTAAATAGGGTATTTTGATATCTTTGGAGTAAATATTTTCTGGCTTGAGGGTGATAAGTAGCTGCTAGTTCAAGTAGAATTTATTTTCTTGTATAGAACTGTATTTTTAATTTCTAGAGAAAGTGATTAGAACCTAGCATAAATTCTTTTTACAGCACTATAAATCAAATTAAAATATATAATTAGAGCTGTATATTTAAGGAGATACCTCCTTGTCACATATTTTCAAAAATTCAAAGCTTTGTTCTCTTATTAGTGATCACTTCTGTTTAGTCTGAAGCAGAAGTTATGTTTACTCATTATTTTTTCCTCCAGGGATTTAGTGTCTTGGACTCCTCTAGCATTTCCCACACCAGCAGAAGAGCCCCAAGGTTGTGTAACACATGCTGGTAAACACTAAACAAAAGACAGAGAATCAGCATTTTGGAAGTTTAACACCTGACCTGTTCAAACATTAATCTGTCTCCAAACGCTGAGGCACAAACACAGAACAGGGAAAGGACTCCAGGAGTCTGCAATTCTTCACTCTCCGGTGCACCTGCTCCACGGGGCTTAGCTTTAGAAAGCACTGTCATTTCTAAAAGCCACACTCCGGAGAAGAGCAAGAGGCCAGTTGAGTGAAGCCTTCTTGCAGAATTTATTAGAGCCAGGAGTACAGGGGGAGAAGAATGACTTGGTCAAAGAGCGGTGTACATTCTATCAGGATGGCGCACAAATACACACACCCAGCCTAAGCCTCAGCTCTGTCCTCTTTCTCCCCACACTCAGGGACTAATGATTCAATGGACGTCAGCGTCTTCCACATTCCTCTCCACAGTTTCCCCCCTATATACCCAGGACCCCAGCGTCTCCTTTGCCTTGCCTTCTATCCCCCAGCACGAGCCCTCCCTTCATGACCTGACCATTCCCTCAGCCCTGGTGGCTCTCCTACTTCAAGCTGCGGCCTCCCACCCCTCCCTGCCCCTGGTGTCACTCCGATCCCCGCCTGGGCCCCCCCATTTCCTTCGATCCTAGGCTCTCATCACCGCCATCTGTACCCCCTTGTGAGCCGCAGCACACATCTGCAGGGGCGGGGCCTCCACTTCAGGCTCTGACCCTTGCACCTTCCCTCAGAACCGATCACAGTGTGCGCATGCCTGAGCCTCAGGTGCTCCCCAGTAACCCCCATTTCCTGAGCCGCAATATATCTCCCTTCAACGGCCCCTTCTCCCGCGGCCGGGGTGACCCATGTTCCCCCGGGGCCGCCCCCCGCTTCTCCCGCGGCCGGGGTGACCCATGTCCCCCCGGGGCCGCCCCCCACTTCTCCCGCGGCCGGGGTGACCCATGTCCCCCCGGGGCCGCCCCCCGCTTCTCCCGCGGCCGGGGCCTGCACTGCCCCAGTCCCACCTCCCCAGCGCCAGGCCTGTTTCTCTTTCCCCGCCGGGCCAATTCCTCCTCCTCACCCGGGTGACCCTCAGCGCAGACATCTTGATGGGCGCTGCTATCGAGCTCGAGCTGACCCCGCCGGCTGCAGGCGACGAGCAGTGTCCGCTGGGCCCCGCCTACTGGGCGGGGCTGAGAGACTGGGCCCGTTGAACAGCTCGGGGGCGGGGCTGGGTTCGGGTCCGGGCTCAAAGTTCCGCGTTCAACGTGCACCCGACAGCCAGCGGGCCAAGGGGCCAGCCAGGGGCGGCCAAGGCTCACCCTGGTCGCGGAGAAAGGCAGCGTCCCGAGAGTGGCGCTGGGCAGAGGGGGGAAGAGGAGACTGTAGGTGAGAGGGCCAGGCTTGGGTGGGGGTCAGGTTTCGGAGGGGCTTACCTTTTCAGGGGGGTCTGAGTCCCCCTTCCCCCCCCATGTTAGCCCTGCCTGTTTTGAGTGAGGAGCTTAGAACAGGAATGCATTCGGAGCATGCACTCCCTGCATGACTGCTTGGGGTGCGAAGCTGAGAACGGGTATGCTCAACACACACATCTCAGACTCTCCTGAACTGGAGAGTGGAGAAGGGAACACCTGATGGAGCAGTTCACACATCTCACAGCTATTGTTTCAGGCTGTATTCATCTCCATTGGGTATTCTCTTTCAGAGATGAAGCTCAGCCCTGTTGTTGAACCGATCCTTGCTGCTGTCAAGTTGCCCTGTGTATGGCTTCATAAGCCGTGGTATTAAGGGATAGGTGGCATCTCCCAGGATCACAATGGGCATTTTGACTTCCCCTATGGTGATCTTCTGGTCTGGGAAGAAAGTCCCTGCTTGCAGCTTCCTGAACAGGCCAGTGTTCTGAAAGATGCGTGCGTCATGCACCTTTCCGGACCAGCCTGCGTTAATGTCCGTGTAACGTCCACTGTGATCCACAAGCGCCTGGAGAACCATTGAGAAATACCCCTTGCAATTAGTGTACTTGGTGGCTAGGTGGTCTGGTGCCAGCATTGGAATATGCGTGCCATCTATTGCCCCTACACAGTTAGGGAAGCCCATTTGTGCAAAGCCATCTACAGTGTCACGTTGCCCAGAGTCATGGTCTTTCGGAGCAGGATGTAATTAATGGCCCTGCAGACCTCCATCAACACAAGTCCAACGGTAGACTTTCCCATTCCGAACTGGTGAGCAACCGATCTATAGCAGTCTGGAATAACCAGCTTCCACAGTACAATCGCCACACACTTCTCCAATGGCAGGGCAGCTCTCATTCTCGTGTCTTGCGCTGCAGGGCTGGGGTGAGCTCATCGCACATTCCCGTGGATTGTGACTTTCCTTATCCGAAAGTTCTGCAGCCACTGCTCATCATCCCAGATGTGCGTGATGATGTGATCCCACCACTCAGTGCTTGTTTCCCGAGCCCAGTAGCGGTGTTCCACCTCCGTGAATGCCACAAGCAATCTTGTGTTGTAGCTACTACACGTGACGAGATCAATGTCGCACTCCTCTTGCCTTTGTAGTTTAAGGAATAACTCCACTGCCACTCGTGACGTGTTGGTCAGTGCGAGCAGCATACTGGTCAACAGTTCGGGATCTATTTCTGCAGCCCAAAGAGGCAGGGCGCGCAGTACACAAAACGTTGAAAGATGGCGCCAAATGCGGATGGAAGCACAGGGATTGTTGGGATGCGAAGCAATGCATCAAGGGGCATTAGGCCAGGACCCAAGATGCCCCGTGACCCCCTCTGCCTTCCCAGAACTCTTAGCGGCAGAAGAGGTACTCTGTGGGATAGCTGCCCAGAGTGCACCACTCCAAATACCACTGCAAGTAACTCCCAGCGCTGTAACTCTGCCAGTGTAGACATACCCTAAGTGACATAAATTACACCAACAGATGCGTCGGTGTGGACAGCGCTATGTCGGCAGGAGACGCTCTCCTGCCAACAGCTACCGCTGCTGGTTGGGGGTGGTTGACTATGTAGCCAGCATAGAGCGACTGTAAGGGAGATCTTACAGTGGCGCAGCTGCATCCATACAGCTGTGCCACTTTAACATCTCTAGTCTAGACTGAGTAAGTGCAGAATGACTGTTGAGTGTGCTTTTGGCTATTTAAAAGCCCACTGGCGCTGCCTCTGTGGGAAGCTGCATCTGGCCAATGACAGTATTCCTATCCTTATAGCCGCGTGCTGTACGCTCCATAATTTGTGAAGGGAAGGGTGAAAGCTTCGCTCAGGGCTGGCCTGCAGAGGCTCAGCGCCTGGAGGCTGAGTTTGAACAGCCAGAGACCTGGGCTATTAGAGGGGCGCAGCGCGGGGCTATAAGGATCAGGGATGCCTTGAGGCAGCAATTTGAAGCTGAAAGCCACTAATATTTGTTGCTGTGCTCGGGACTGCAGTGCTTGTAATGCTAGGAGGTGATTGGCGCAGATGATACAATTATGTTATACCCACATATTGTATGTTGCTTTGCAGGGCTCTTTTTGCTTTCAGTTAATAGGATAAAGATCAGGAGCACTTGTGGCACCTTAGAGACTAACAAATTTATTAGAGCATAAGCTTTCGTGGGCTACAGCCCACTTCTTCGGATGCATTGGCCAAACCGGACAGTCTCTATGCAAAAGAATTAATGGACACAAATCTGACATCAGGAATCATAATACTCAAAAACCAGTGGGAGAACACTTTAACCTGTCTGGTCATTCAATGACAGACCTGCGGGTGGCTATTTTACAACAGAAAAACTTCAAAAACAGACTCCAACGAGAGACTGCTGAGCTGGAATTGATATGCAAACTAGACACAATCAATTTAGGATTGAATAAGGACTGGGAATGGCTGAGCCATTACAAACATTGAATCTATCTCCCCTTGTAAGTATTCTCACACTTCTTATCAAACTGTCTGTACTGGGCTATCTTGATTATCACTTCAAAAGTTTTTTTTTTTTCTCTTACTTAATTGGCCTCTCAGAGTTGGTAAGACAACTCCCACCTGTTCATGCTCTCTGTATGTGTGTATATATATCTCCTCAATATATGTTCCATATAGTTCCGAAGAAGTGGGCTGTAGCCCACGAAAGCTTATGCTCTAATAAATTTGTTAGTCTCTAAGGTGCCACAAGTACTCCTGTTCTTTTTGCAGATACAGACTAACACGGCTGCTACTCTGAAACCTAGGATAAAGATGGCTTTCAAACCAACACAATTCTTTTATTAAAAAACAACAACTGGAGGAGAGTCAAACAAAAAAACCCCACATCAGCAGTGAGGGGGATGGGGGAAGGGAAGGTTCCAGGAGGAGGTGGGGTCCAGGGACAGCTAAAGATTTGTGTATGTCCAGGGATCATATCCAACCTTCTCCTTTGGAGTACAATGCGCAGGTACTGTACTTCAGCAGGGCCAAACTGCAGAGGGATGGGTGTTGAGTGCAGTGAGTAGTGGGAGTCCACGACTGAGAGCCAGCGGGCCTGGGAGGAGTGTGAGGGGGAGGAATGGAATGCCGCAGGTATAGACTGGAACTAGGAGGTTGATAAGAGTGTGTTGGCGGTGTCTGGGGGGAGCATGGGAAAGAGTTTTGTGATAGCAGCTGCAGGGGAGGGTGGGTGCGGAGCTGCTCGGTTTGCAGTGCTAGTATCGCCTGGAGCATGTCAGCTTGGCGCTCCATAACCTTTAAGAGCTGCTCCATGGCTTCATTCTGGCATGCCGCATTCTCCTTTTGGTCCCTCTTCTCGCTGTCCCGCCACTCCTTCAATTCCTGTTTCTCGGTGGCGCAGTGCATCATAATATCATGCAGAAAGTCCTCTCTAGTTCTTCTTGGCCACTTTCTAATTCTGCGCAGCCGTTCAGCCGTCGATAACAAAGAGGGAGGCTGTGCTCCCAAGGTCATCTCTGTGAAGCTTAAACGCAACATTTTACAGAAGCAGTATTGTTTGCAACACACACAACACTGATTCAGTGATTTAAAACACAGCCAGTACTCACACACCTGTCACTAACTGGCTGACCCCAGGCAAGCACACATGAGCCACAAGAGCCCCAAAATGGTGAGTAGCCGCAGGGGCAGGGTAAATCACTCTTCCCAGACCCTGCTGTACACTGGGCACGTGGCTCTTGGGGAGAGCCAGTACTGTAGGGGGGCCTGATAATCATTCCTGTCCCCACACTTTCCACAGGAGGTGATCATTATGGAAGATATCTCGCTGCTGATGGTGAGCAGGGACTCAAGGGAGGGTCTTCTCCAAGACTGCGGCTTCCACCCTGGCTCTTATGCAGCTCGCCTGTGTGCAGCAATGGTCTGCACCCCACCCCCCGTGATGGCACAATGACGCGGGAAAGTTACCGTAAATGGGGCAAGAAACAAAGCAGCTCTGCCGAAGAACCTGTAGGAGCGGATCGCACAGTATCTTCATGAGAGTTTCCTGGAGATCTCTGAGAAAGATTCCCATGAAGTGAGGGAGTCAATCAACAGCCTGTTCTGCTGCTCAGACTAGGATCTGGGGTGGGGGCACTGAAGGTAATGCAGACTTACACATCTGAAATCCAGAAAATGAATAGTTAATATATACATTTTCCTGGTGAGGGGTGGGGCTGATCAGAGTGTGTGGGGAAGGGACCTGGGCTGGTTTGGAAGTGGGGGCCAGAGTGGATGGACCTGGGGCATGGCTTCCTAGCCTGACTGAAGCAGGGCCTGGGCCTGGGAATCCAAGCTGGAGGTGGGTAGTGGGAATGAGGGGCCCAGCTCAGAATGCACTCAGGCTACAAAATCAAGGTAGCATGCAACCCCCACCCTAGTAAGACACTGCCCATGATATGTGTACACAGCAGCATAGGGCAGAAAATAGCAAGGAGCAATTTCTTACATGTTAATGGCTTCTACTATGCCAGCTGATGGCTTAATTGGAAGGAGAAAGGAAGCTGGAAATGTTGGTGGGGGAGGGGTACATATTGCAGGGAATGGTTGGGCAGGGGATGAAGAAGGCTTCTCTCATATACTTACAGTTATTATAAGCGTCATGTGATAAAACTGTCACAGTTTTGGGACATAGATTGATGAGATTCTCTCATTGGCCCTGTTAGTAACTATGCATTGCAAACATTTCGAAGCAGCACCATTATCCTCATTCTGCTATAACAAAATGTAG